TACACAACAGATGGTGAGGAAGCGATGGACGTATCTGAGAAAGAGGATGATCAGATGCAAGAAGATTCAGATGAGTATAGACCAGAGAGGTACCACTTCAAGGACTACACAGCGCCCAGACAAGGCAAGAGTTTGGTAGAGGCTCACAAGCGTATCAGTACCCTACAGAAGTGGAACATGCTGCAGGACAAGGCCATAAGGTCTATGAAGTCGAAGATGAAGAGCTTCATGAGTAAGTTTAGCTGCGCCTCCACCACCACAGCATTCGCAGACACTACTCCGCGGGATGCTAGACCAGTTTAATGCCGCTTGTCCATGAGTGATGTCCCAGCACGCTACAGAACTCCTTCTCCATCACGTCATTCAGCATATGAGTATAGGGAGCAGAATTTTTCTTCTTCTCCTCTGAGACAGTCCTCCCCTGAGCTAAGGGCTAGCAAAAAGAAGGAGAAAAGGAAAAAGAAGAAGGCAGCGAGACGGAAGGCAAAAGCTAGTTCATCACACTTGCGAGACGAGAATCATGTTGAGGATCTGACCATGGATCAAGCCGAGGATCACATTGAGGACCTGACTGTTGATACAGGTGCGTATCACTTCCAAGACCTCACTGAGGATCCGGTCGAGCAGAACGTTGAGCAACCAGCAGAGGCTCCTCCTGTGTAGCCTGCACCAGGTGCTTATACAAGCGAGTCAATGATTCAATACCTGGACTGCTATTTTCAGTAAGGTACCACTCCACACCTTCATCTGTATATACCATTGCAATTTCATACTTTTGTTTGTTTGATTCTCAAACCAACTCTCAAATTTTTATTATACAAGGGACTGTGTAATTTAAGTTTGGGGGAGGGTTTGGGATGACATTTGATGTTGTGTTCTCTTTTCTTATTTCGAATTTTTAGCATATAATTTGCATTCATATATGTGCATTGAAAACCCCTAAAAATTTGAAAAATTTTCAGAACAAAATCTTTAAAAATAGAGTGATCATGTAGCCTGCATTTGCATATTAGGATTGAGTCTAGATTGTTTCATGTAGGACTGTTGCATTCGTGATATCTACTGTTTTTATTGGTTTTTAAGCATTGTTTATAAGTTAGTTACATGCATTTTCCATCATGTTTAGTGTGTTTAGGATTGCTTTTTGCATTAGTTGAGTCTTTTTAGGAACTTGGAGGTTCATTAAGGAGTTTGGAGCTTTTAAGGTCAAAAAGTAGCTTAATTGACGCATTTATAGCAATGGTGATGATGGAGGAACCATGTAATGAAGCAAGTGAATCAAAGAAGCAAAAATGGACCAAAGAAAAGAAAAAACAAGGAGGTGAAGTGTCGCGCCCGACCCGGTTGGTCGAGCACTCGGTCGTTCCCTTCAAAGATAGACACGAATGAAGATTTTTCCTTGAGATTTAGCTTCAGCGTCCTTCATCAAAGTTGTAGGAAATGGAATTAGCTTTCCAATGGTGGTGGTTTCAAGCCAATCCGAGCTGCGGTTCGTGAGTTATCGCTGTTTTACTGAACGCATATACATAAAGTACTACATCCGGTCGGGGTTAAGGATGACGATTTTGGAGCCTCAGACGCCCGACCGGTCCGATCGGACGACCGGTCGGGCGTGAACAGTGTTTTATTTTTGGTCAAACCGGGTTGACCCGGTTTACTGTGGGTTGACCCGGTTATCTCCCTTTTCCTCTATAAAAACCCCCTAAACCTAATTATGGGGGATATAAGCTATGTTTAAGGTTCTTCTTTGGATTTTGTATTGAATATTTAAGTTTTAATTCAAGTATTTTTTGTTTATCGTTTAATCTACTCTCTTACTTAATGATTTCACAAAGAACATCTCATTTATATTGTGTAATCATCATGATTAGTGAGTAGTCTTTTAGAGTTCTTGGGTTTTGGTAGATTCGGATGATTTAGGAGTTAGGTTATGGAGTTTAGGATTAGATTTTTTAAGATTCTTGCTTATTGGTTGCTAATAAGGCTAAATCATTATTGATTATGTTGATTTAGAGCTTAGGAATTTTACGCCCGGAAGGTGTTCGATGAAATTCCCGAACCAAAACTTTTAAGTGCTTTTCATTCCTAGCCTTTGGAAATTGTTGACTAGGGTGATTAGTGGTTAGATAGACTTGTTTATAATGCTTATTGATCATTTGATTGCCTTTGAAAGAAGTTGATAATTGATTGATTAGTAAAGGGATTAATCTAATAGAAATGTGTTAGTCTTGGTTAGTGTTCTATGGCCTAAGGATCATTCTTTGTTAGAAGTTGTTGGAGCCTCCATAACCCATCTCTTTGTCATTCTAGTCAATTGCCTTAACCCGAGAATTCGTCTTTTAATTATTTCATTAGTAATTGTCTTTTCCCGCTTTGTTTCAATTCCAATCTTGTTAGTCTTTTGATTATTGCTTTCTTGTATCTTGTTTTGCATTGTTTGATTTAAATTGCATTGTTAGTTACATTTAGAAATGAAAACCGTTCTCTTGTTAAGCTTAGATTAAGCAAATTTGTGTATTCTTGGTGTGTTAATTAGTTGCTCCTTGAGGTTCGATAATTTAATTGATCGGGTAAAATAGCTACATCAATTAGCATAGAGGGCGATGATGATTTACACCTTGTTGACTTGCTATGATTCACTAGTTGAGATCAATGCCCTGGTTGTTAGCTCTTTGATGCATGATGACTGAACTTGAAGTAAGCCCGAAACAAATCTTGACTTGTTGAAACATGTTGTAATATGATCTCATTCCTTACCTTATAAGAACTTAATCTTTACTTGCAAATATCTGGTTGTGTTTTTCTTGCATACTCATGATCACCATATACATATTTGGATCATCTTCCTCCTTTCACCACTCTTGTTGATCCAAGTAGCTGATCTTTCTTTTGATCAGTTTGCCATACCCACAGCCTATCATTTTCTTTCAAGCCAGTTGATAATTTTTGAGTGGTAGGTCTTTTACTGGATTATGCTTGGGGAGAACGTATTAGGTATGAGCCGACACGATTAAAATCTTGAGTAGTTCTGATTGTCACTTTCAAATCAGATAGGACTAGGTCGGGATTCTTACTTGGATTTGGATTGGAATGATTGTGGAAAGAAAGAAGAGAAACAGAAAATAAAAAGGTTGTGCCCTTAGGAGGAGAATGTTTTTAAAGAATTTTATACTCTAGTGATTGATTTTTGTGGGGATAGCATGATATACAGAGAATAGTTCTGGGATGTAAAGAAAGAGAAAAAGTTTTGATGTCTTATAATGTAAGAAGAAAACAGAATCATAGTAAGGAAGAAACCCCCTATCCATTAGTATTGATAAGAAACTTCTCCTAAGGCAAAAAGAAAAAAATGGGATTGATGTTGAAGGGTAGACATAGGAATCATTCGGGTTTAGATGATTAGGAGCTAGCACTTGGGAACAATTGGGTAGTCAAGGTTTTATTCCTGTATGCATTTGTAGGTCCTCACCTTTAGCATTCTCCCTAAAGCTCAATCCATTCATTGAGAGATCCTTGTCTTGAAATTGTTTAAACCCTCTTGATTCTCAAAACCTCTTTCTGCCTTGCCAAGTGAGTTTGTTAAGCCTTTCACAACCAAATTCATATTCTTGAGTAATCAATGTTAAAAGGAATGAATGATTTGAATGCATGTGTAGATCAAGGGATAAAATCAGTTTCGGATTTGATGAGTTTGTCTAAAGTCTTTAAGTAAAGTTCTCTCAGCATGCATCAAAAACTTAGCAACCAGGACATTGATTTTAACTGCTCTATATTGCAAGTTACATGTTCTAAGACCCCATTTTCAAACCCCTCTTCCACATGGTTTCTTTTTGCTTTGCTTGAGGACAAGCAAAGACTAAGTTTGGGGGAGTTGATAAGTCAGTATTTCATCACTTTTTGAGCATGAAATGTCTGAACCAACTAGTGCTAGAGATTTACATGCTTAGCCCCAGAGATTGGTTGTCTAAGATGTTTATTGACATTAATGAGCTGTTTCTTTATGCCTGTTTACTACATGTTTCATCAATGAGAATTGAGATTAGGAAGTGTTGTAAACTTGATAGTTTCTACCAAGAGATTGGATTGACTAGTATTAGAAGTTCATTGTCTAAGGATTAGTATGTTTGCAGTTTGATAAACACTTGAAGTAGATTAGCATACTCCACCTACATCAATAACCTCATCCTCAGGATCTTCTATCCATTTGTGCTTTCTGTTTAATTCTCTCGTTATTTACTTGTTCTGCTTTGTTTTCTTACCAGGATCAATAATCGTTACGTTTTAGCTTATGCATGGTAGTCTATGTTTTACAGCCTTACATTTATCGCATGTTTAACATGTTCGCTTAGGATCACTGAAAACCAAAAGTCATTTACACTTGCTTGACTTAAACATTTCTGATATATCTTGATTGCTAGCATCACACCTGATTGGATTGATACCTATTGTACTGCAATGACATGATAGTACTCTAGGGTAATTGATAGTAAAATCCTAGTATCAATTTGGCGCCGCTGCCATTTGGGTGTTTGTTTGCTACATTTGAGATTTCAGACTTGCTAAGATCAAGTTTTTATTCAACATTCACTACAGTTACTCACTCTGTTCTTTCTGTTTGTCTATTGATTCAGGTACTACTCTTGCTCAACTGCTCCTACTCGACCGACACACTCAACCGTCTCGCGAGCTAAGTTGATTTGAGTTGTATGCACACACGGTCGCAAGGCACAGAGAACTTGCTCCAGCCCTCTGACCATATTGATCGCTTGGTACCTGCATCAAGACAGCAACGCAACAGAGTTACACAACAACCAGTTGAGATGGAAAACCATGAACAACCACCTCCTCCACGGGCACCTACACGAATTGGAGCTGGTGATGCTCCACGCAACCATACCCATCGTCAGGGTATTGTGCCTCCAGCCGTGCAGAACAACAACTTTGAGATCAAGAGTGGTCTGATCTCCATGGTCCAGCAGAATAAATTTCATGGTCTGCCTATGGAAGACCCCCTGGATCACCTCGATGAGTTTGATCGTCTCTACAGTCTCACCAAGATCAATGGGGTCAGTGAGGACGGTTTCAAGTTACGTCTCTTTCCATTCTCTCTGGGTGACAAAGCTCATCAATGGGAGAAAACTCTTCCTCCAGGATCTATCACATCCTGGGATCAATGCAAGCAGTCGTTTCTTGCCAAGTTTTTCTCCAACTCCAGAACTGCACGTCTGCGCAACGAGATCTCTGGGTTCACTCAGAAGAATGGAGAAACGCTTTGTGAAGCATGGGAGCGCTTCAAAAGTTATCAGTCTCAGTGCCCCCACCATGGCTTTACCAAGGAGTCTCTCCTCAGTACCCTTTACCGAGGTGTTCTCCCAAAGATCCGGATGTTACTTGACACTGCTAGCAATGGCAACTTTCTGAACAAGGACGTCAATGATGGTTGGGAGCTTGTTGAGAACCTATCCCAGTCCGATGGCAATTACAATGAAGACTACGATAGAACCATCAGGATAAGCACAGATCTTGATGAGAAGTACAAGAAGGAGATGAAAGCTGTGAATGATAAGCTGGACAAACTCTTGATGAGCCAGCAGAGGAACATTCATTTCGTCTCTGAAGACGATCCTTACCAGATTCTGGATGGGAAGGGCGAACAATCTGAGGAAATAAGTTATGTCCAGAATCAAGGTGGATACAACAAGGGATACAACCCCTATAAGCAGAATCCCAATCTGTCTTATAGGAGCACCAATGTTGCAAATCCCCAGGATCAGGTTTATCCACCTCCATAGCAGCAGCAGCAAGGGCAGAACAAACCATTTGTGCCCTATAACCAAGGTTATGTGCCCAAACAACAATTTCAGCAAGGTTACCAACCTTCAGCAGGACCACTACCAGGATTCCAACCTCAACACGCTCCGCCTCCTCAGGCACCAGATCATGACATGAAAAACATGCTGCAACAGTTATTACAAGGACAGACAAGTGGATCTATAGAGTCTGCTAAGAAGTTTGCAGAGATGAATAATAAGATGGACTGCACATACAATGCTCTCAATCTCAAGATTGAAGCTTTGACCTCTAGAATTCTTCACCTGGAAAGCAAGAATGCATCTACTTCTTCAGGACAACTCCCAGGGAAAGCCATGCACAACCCAAAAGAGTTTGCAACAGCCCATGCCATCACCTTAAGAGAGTTACCTATTACAAAAACTTCTATGGATATCACTGCGGACAGTGAGGATCTATATGGGGAGGATTTTTCTCCAAATGAAGATTCCACACAACAAATCAAAGTCGATCATGATCCACCTGCCATGGTAAAACATGATATTCCAAAGAGTAGGAAACCACGTTACATTCCTCCACCCTACACGCCTCCATTACCATTCCCTGAAAGATTCAAGGAAAAAATAATGGAGAAGTATAAAGGACTGCTCGACACACTCGAAGGGACTGAACTAACAAAAGCTTTGGTAGATGCTCATGCAAAGATTCCGTCTTACAATAAAATCCTGAAAGAGGTCCTATTGGGGAGGATTCAAGAGAAGAAGGAAATAACTAAAGATGCTGAGGAGAAAGCTGAGGAAGATGAGAGAGTAAAATCACTTAACCATGAGTGTTGTGCCATTGTACATAAAGAGGTTATCCCAAAGAAGCTAGAAGATCCTGGTTCATTTACTTTGCCTTGCACAATAGGTCCACTATCTTTCAGTAGGTCTCTCTGTGACCTAGGAGCGTCAGTTAGTCTCATGCCTCTCTCTGTGGCTAGAAGGTTAGGTTTTACACAATACAAAACGTGCAACATATCCCTCATCTTGGCAGACAGAACGGTTAGGGTTCCATATGGCTTGTTGGAAGATCTCCCAGTAAAGATTGGTGAAGTAGAAGTACCAACAGACTTCATTGTTTTGGAGATGGATGATGAGCCTCAAGATCCACTCATCCTAGGAAGACCATTCTTAGCTACAGCAGGAGCAATCATTGATGTCGGGAAAGGGATGATTGATCTTAATCCGGGTAAAGACTTCAAGATGAAGTTTGATATCAAGGACATCTTGAGTACGCCAACAGTTGATGGGCACACTTTCTCCACTGAAGATGAGTCAACTAAGCAAATACTCAAGCAAGGTGTAAAAGAATCTATGGATCCCTCATCGGATGGTTGTTTAGAACTTCGAATGATCAAAGTTTTGAAAGATTTAGTGAAAAGGTTAATAGCTATGGTCAAGAAAATGGGTGGGCAAATCAAGAAACTCAAAAGAAAAATCAATGGTCCTTGTCCAAGGAGACAGAGTGTGAGTGTAAAGATGAGCAGCAGATCCTGTGATATTGACCTAGGAAAAAGAGGAGGAATGAAATCTCTGAGAATAGAGGGTGCTTCAACACCTCTCTATGAGCCTCCTTAAGCCTAAAAGGCATAAACAGTCAAGCTTAGTGACTTTAAACAAGCTCACTTGGGAGGAAGTCCCAAAGGTATCCCTGTAAATACTGCTTAAGATTTCTTGTTATTTTGATTTTTGTTTTTGGTTTTATGTTGGTCAGGACGTCAGACATGTTCATATATGTTCGTCCATGAGTGATGTACTAGCACGCAATAGAACTTCTTCTCCTCTGAGACAGTCCTCCCCTGAGCTTAGGGCTAGCAAAAAGAAGGAGAAAAGGAAAAAGAAGAAGGCAGCGAGACGGAAGGCAAAAGCCAGTTCATCACACTTGTCAGAGGAGCATCATGTTGAGGATCTGACCATGGATCAAGCTGAGGATCACATTGAGGACCTGACTGTTGATCCAGGTGCGTATCATTTCCAAGACCTCACTGCGGATCCTGTCGAGGAGAACGTTGAGCAACCAGCAGAGGCTCCTCCTGTCCCGCCTGCACCAGGTGCTTATACAAGCGAGTCCATGACTCAATACCTGGATTGCTATTTTCAGTAAGGTACCACTCCAAAACTTCATCTGTATATACCATTGCATTTTCATACTTTTGTTTGTTTGATTCTCAAACCAACTCTCAAATTTTTATTACACAAGGGACTGTGTAATTTAAGTTTGGGGGAGGGTTTGGGATGACTTTTGATGTTGTGTTTTCTTTTCTTATTTTGAATTTTTAGCATATAATTTGCATTCATATATGTGCATTGAAAACCCCTAAATATTTGAAAAATTTTCAGAAAAAAATCTTTAAAAAGAGAGTGATCATGTAGCTTGCATTCGCATACTAGGATTGAGTCTAGATTGTTTCATGTAGGACTGTTGCATTAGCATAGGGGCGATGATGATTTACACCTTGTTGATTTGCTATGATTCACTAGTTGAGATCAATGCCCTGGTTGTTAGCTTTTTGATGTATGATGATTGAACTTGAAGTAAGTCTGAATTAAACTTGGAATTCATGAAGAGCATTCTTGAACTCGATTGAAACATGTTGTGATATGATCTCATTCCTTACCTTATAAGAACTTAATCTTGACTTGCAAATATCTGGTTGTGTTTTGCTTGCATGCTCATGGTCACCATATACATATTTGGATCATCTTCCTCCTTTCACCACTCTTGTTGATCCAAGTAGCTGATCTTTCTTTTGATCAGTTTACCACACCCACAGCTTATCCTTTTCTTTCAAGCCAATTGATAATTTTTGAGTGGTAGGTCTTTTACCGGATTATGCTTGGGGAGAACGTGTTAGGTATGAGCCGACAGGATTAAAATCTTGAGTAGTTCTGATTTTCACTTTCAAATCAGATAGGACTAGGTCGGGATTCTTACTTGGGTTTGGGATTGGAATGATTGTGGAAAGAAAGAAGATAAACAGAAAAAGTTGTGTCCTTAGGAGGAGAATGTTTTCTAGAAGTTTATACTCTAGTGATTGATTTTTGTGGGGTTAGCATGATATACAGAGAATGGTTCTGGGATGTTAAGAAAGAGAAAAAATTTTAATATCTTATAACGTAAGAAGAAAACAGAACCATAGTTAAGAAGAAATTCCCTATCCACTAGTATTGATAAGAAACTTCTCCTAAGGCAAAAAGAAAAAATGGGATTGATGTTGAAGGGTAGACATAGGGATCATCCGGGTTTAGATGATTAGGAGTAAGCACTTGTGAACCATTGGGTAGTCAAGGTTTTATTCCTGTATGCATTTGTTGGTCCTTACCTTTAGCATTCTCCCTAAAACTCAATCCATTCATTGAGAGATCCTTGTCCTGAAATTGTTTAAACCCTCATGATTCTCAAAACCTTTTTATGCCTAGCCAAGTGAGTTTGTTAAGCCTCGCACAACCAGATTCATATACTTGAGTAATGAATGTTAAAAGGAATGAATGATTTGAATGCATGTGTAGATCAAGGGATAGAATCAGTTTCGGATTTGATGAGTTTGTCTAAAGTCGTTAAGTAAAGTTCTCTCAGCATACATCAAAGACTTAGCAACCAGGACATTGATTTTAACTGCTATATCTTGCAAGTTACAGGTTCTGAGACCCCATTTTCAAACCTCTCTTCCACTTTGTTTCTTTTTGCTTTGCTTGAGGGCAAGCAAAGACTAAGTTTGGGGGAGTTGATGAGTCTGTATTTCATCTATTTTTGAGCATGCATTCGTCATCTTTTCAGCATCATTCACTTGTTGATTCGCATCATATTGATCCCTTTCTGCATGTTTTACATACTTAGGTAGATTTTATGCATATCATGCATATCTTGCATACATTGTGCATATTTGGAGTGTTTCAGGTACTTAGGAGACATGCAGAGCGAAGCAGAGGAATAAGCGTTACTCGACTTGCACACGATCGAGTGAGACGATCGAGTGAGAAGCAAGGATGCGTTGCAGGAACATACTTCACTCGATTGACACGACCGAGTAGGATGATCGAGTAGGCTGCAGAGATACATTGCAATTACAAAGATGATCGAGTGAGCAGCAGACGTATACGATCGAGTAGCTGATCGAGCAGAAGGGAAGCGAAGCAGAACAACCTGTCACTCGATGCAGTCACTCGAGTGACATGAACGAGCAAAGCAAAGAAGTAGCTGATGGTTTCACATGTCACTCGACATGTTCACTCGAGGGACACGGTCGAGTACGATATGATACAGAGAAGAAATTAAGTGTTACCCGACACGCTCACTCGACCGACAGGACCATTACAACTTTTAAACCGCTTTTACGTTGTCGTTTTATGTTTTAAGGTTTTCCCAAACATTGTTATAAATAGGTCTCATTTGGATTGCCGAAGGGATCGAGTTTTTACATTAGGTTTTTGTTGTTAGCCACCAAACGATCTTGAGAATTGTAATTTAGTTTTCTTTGAAGTTATTGATATTTTGCAATCAGTTCTTGATTCATTGTTGTTAATCTTCCCGTCATCTTTATTATTATGCATGTTTTGAACGATTCGTGTTTCATGATGTTTAACATGATTTCTGCGTCTGAGTAGTGTTAGGGTTCTTGAGGATGGGATAGATTAGGTGGAGGATGTTAGTTTGCTAGAGTGTTTATGTTAGATTCGTTTTGTTTCCCTTCTGGACTAGAGTTTTATTAGCTAGTTCTTCTCTGATCAATTGGAACTGGGTCATAGACATTTCATACCCGAAAGGTATATGATGAAATGTCTGAACTAACTAGTGCCAGAGATTTACACGCTTAGCCCAAGAGATTGGTTGTCTAAGATGTTTATTGACATGAATGAGCTGTTTCCTTATGCCTGTTTACTACATGTTTCATCAATGAGAATTGAGATTAGGAAGTGTTGTAAACTAGATAGTTTCTGCCAAGAGATTGGATTGACTAGTATTAGAAGTTCATTGTCTAGGGATGTAGAATGTTTGCAGTTTGATAAACACTCGAAGTAGATTAGCATACTCCACCTACATCAATAACCTCATCCTCGGGATCTTCTATCCATTTGTGCTTTCTGTTTAATTTTCTTGTTATTTACTTGTTCTGCTTTGTTTTCTTACCAAGTATCAATAATCGTTACGTTTTAGCTTATGCATGGTAGTCTATGTTTTACAGCCTTACATTTATCGCATGTTTAACATGTTCGCTTAGGATCACTGAAAACCAAAAGTCATTTACACTTGCTTGACTTAAACATTTCTGATACATCTTGAGTGCTAGCATCACACCTGATTGGATTGATACCTATTGTACTGCAATGACATGATAGTACTCTAGGATAATTGATAGTAAAAATCCTAGTATCAAAAAGCTTGTTTAAATTTTGTCCCAACTGGGCTATGAACTCATAAACATTGCGTTGAACAATTAAATGGTATGTCTAGAGTTATTTAGGGTTATAATATGTTATTATACAATGAATTTGATTGATTACAAGTGCTAGAGATGCATGAAGATTGTTTAGAAGTGAGGAGAAAAACTTGCTAAAATTTTGTCCTAAATGGGCTAAGAACCCACAAACATGTCTTTGAAGAAGTAAATAGCTTGCCTAGTGTTATTTGGGGTTAGACTATGTTAGAATAAAATGAATTTAATTGATTACAAGTGCTAGAGATGGATGAAGAGTGTTTAGATGTGTGGAGAAAGACTTGTTAAAATTTGGTCCCAAATGGGTTAAAAACTCTGAAACATTGCGTTGAACCACTAAATGGCTTGTCTAGTGTTGTTTGGGGTTATAATAATGTTATCATACAATGAATTTGATTGATTACAAGTGCTAGAGATGCATGAAGATTGTTTAGAAGTGAGGAGAAAAACTTGTTGAAATTAGGTCCTAAATGGGCTAAGAACCCACAAACATGTTTTTGAAGAAGTAAATCGGTTGCCTAGTGTTATTTGGGGTTAGAATATGTTAGAATACAATGAATTTGATTGATTACAAATGCTAAAAATGCAAGAAGAGTGTTTAGATGTGTGGAGAAAGATTTATTGAAATTGGGTCCCAAATGGGTTAAGAATTCGGAAACATTGCGTTGAACCACTTAATGGCTTATCTAGTGTTGTTTGGGGTTAGATTATGATATAATAAAATAACTATGATTATTTATAAGTGCTAGGGATGCATAAAGAGTGTTTAGAAGTGTGGATAAAGTATTGTTAAAATTTGGTCATAAATGGGCTAAGAACCCACAAACATGTCTTTGAAGAAGTAAATGGCTTGCCTAGTGTTATTTGGGGTTAGAATATGTTAGAATACAATGAATTTGATTAATTACAAGTACTAGAGATGCTTGAAGAGTGTTTAGAATTGTGTAGAAAAACTTGATGAAATTTGGTCCCAAATGGGCTAAGAACTCAGAAACATTGCGTTGAACCACTAAATGGCTTGTCTTGTGTTGTTTGGGGATAGAATATGTTAGAATCAAATGAATTTGACAGATTACAAGCGCTAAAGATGCATAAAGAGTGTTTAGGGATGTGGAGAAAGACTTGTTGAAATTTGGTCCCAAA